GTGGTAAGTTACTTGTGTTCTCTATTGTGAACACCCTTTACCTTACATATACTAATATACAAAAGACAAGCAGAGAATAACAGGCAACAGGTGACTACAATCGGGAATTAACACGAGGTAACGAGGGGGGCGTGGCACATAGGAGGATCGGACGAGCAGGTCATGACAGTACCTATATATATATATATATATATAGGCTACCTGTCCGTTTGACAGTGTACATTCATTTATGCGCATTCAACTAAAATCACTGGCTAAAAGTTTTTACCCCTCCATCAGTGGGTTAGACCCAAATTCACCTGGCCCAATTAATTCATATTTTTAAAAGATTCTGGATAGTACTGGGTGGGACAGACACTGCTGTTTTTAACATTGGGTGGGACGTGTCCCACCCGTCCTTCTCACGAGTAACGCCTCTGATCAGTACCGTATAAAGTTATTTAACTAAATAAGGTCATTGAATCAGTGGTGAAATCTAACAAATATGTGGAGGGCTGGAGTTGCCCCTGGGGGTGTATTTGGGGACTGAAGCGACAAGACACCAGTAACTCTTTGGAGAACAGAAGAAATTCTTGTAAATGCTTATTTAAATATCAGCAAGGGAAAATGACTAAGCTGGTGGAGAAAGAGAATTCCCATCAGTCTGCTAACCTTTTGTAATGATACTTTCTAACCTTGATAGGGCTTCTTGAGGAAATCATCTTGAGAAATGCTCACCAAACATTCCATGGCTGACAATAACTGTTGTTTGTCGGTGTTGCTAAAGTTAAAGATATAATACAGGAAGTGGAATTCATGACAGGATAGCATGTGCTTTAGGAGAGATACTGCTGTCCAGACACTTCTGAGGAACTGTGTTTCTGATCTGACAGAAAGAAACTCGACATCCAGTATTTATGTAGAAGATTTTGATAGCATCATTTGTTATGAAGATTCCTTGACAACAACGAGGTGACTTAAGCTTATTTAAGCATTGGAGACAAGTTATAGTTTGGAGTCCAGAAAACCCATAAGGGATAAACAATAAGATAGACTGGGATTTTAGGACCACGCCAAGTCAGGTTGTCCTTATAAGGTATTGCGTTTGTTCTCACTAATTTCCTGTAGCACTGCCAAGTGCTCTGCTATCCTATGGAATGCGGCTCCCTCTCCAACAAGAAATGTTAACAGAGATGATGGCCATTTCATTAAGTACATCACCAAGAGAGTAAAATAAAGGCAGGCACTTTTGGCAAGGGTGAAATTGAATGTGCGGTAATTTTGTTATGGCGATGTTTGATAGAAAATGGGAAATGCTTGATCCAATTCAGGAAGTGTTGGCCTTCAGTGACTGTGATCGCGGTTCCACATTCAGACATAACCTCTTGACCTTACATCATTGGCTACAGATGAGGCCTCTCAGCCACACTTAACCCTAACCCTTCCGGAGGGAAAGACTGCTTTTTAAGCCTCGCTTTTGCTATGTATAGGAGATATTATAGCTCTTAAAATTTGCCTGACCCAGAACTTGTGAAAGTACCCTGAACATATTTGAAATGAAGGCAATAAGAGTAGTAGTAGTTGTGAATGTAGCTTTGTAAACAAAACGTTGCTGGTTCAAGTTGTAGGAGTGACTTCTTTCTAGTATTGTTGACCAAGGTACTTAGCCTGAATAACTGCAATAAACGTATACAGATTCCAGTAATAAGCAGCTATACAAATAGCCAGAGCCATAAGGGGACTTTGAGTCCAGGGAGGTCATAGATGCCTTGAGGTAGAGGAGAGGTCAAGGGGCAAGTCCCTCCATGCACCAGTAATTGATTTTCAGTTGTTTGGGACGATTTTTTGTTTTGACAGGGAACCGAAAGCTATGTCCCGGCTCTTGTGGCCGCCTAGTCGGTTTGACTTTTATAAAACCAAGACGGCTCAGACATTTGCTTTGCTGGCCCATCCTGTTGAAAAGCCCGAGGGTAGTAATGAGCTCCCCATTCCCTCCTCCCTGTGGGTCTGTTATACTAACAGGGAAATAATCTGGCCATTAAGCTAAAGACATCCACAGTTTGAGGCAGACATCAGCGGGTTGAAGTCCTCTGCATGGCCGTTTCAGGCTCATTTGTCTGCAGCCATAGACATAACTTTTAGATTTTTCGCCCAAGTTGTTTAAAATATCCGGGTGCCTCTTGCCAAGCTTATTCAGGTTTATGCAGTGATCACTTCACACCCTCAGGGTTGTGGATTCAGTTACAGCTCTCAGATCTGTGTGTGGAATTTGCCCCCCCCCTCCCCCCCCGTGGCTTTCCTCCTGCAGTACAAAAACATGTGCTTCAATGAGCTGGAGTTGCTAAATTGCCCATGGTATGTGATTGTGTCAGTTTGCTCCCTGTGACGGACTTCCTCTTGCTGTCTAATATAAGTTCCAGGTACCCCCCTTGAACCTATACTGCATAGGCATTGAAAGATCGATGGATGCAAGCCAGTCTTTAGGAGCCAAAAACATTGTGCTAAACTATATGTATCTTCCACCCACATGAAGGACCATGTTCCTCAGAGTCCAGTGGAACCAAGGTCATCATCAGCTTGAGCGACTACTTAGATTACACTCAATGGAGCGCATCCGTGACCTGCTCCACAGCAGACAGCATCTCCGTGTCCATGTGCTCTGCTCCCGACGCCCCAATAGGACGATACACCCTGACCTTGGTGCAGGACCATGAAACCAGCCTAGGAGAGTTTGTGCTCCTCTTCAACCCATGGTGCCCAAGTGAGTAAATGCCTGACATACAGTCCCACTGCTAAGGGTCTGACTCCAGAACTCCTGACCCATCATATTCATCGCTTGATTTTTGGCCAACAGGAGATGCTGTGTACATGGACGATGAAGAGAAGCTAAAAGAGTATGTTTTGTCTCAAGATGGAATTATTTATCAAGGCAGTCACAAATTTCCAGTTCCCATACCATGGAATTTTGGACAGGTACCAAATTTGAATGCAATACAATTTAATTAGCTGTTTTGCTGTCATGGGGACATCTGTGTGCAGCTGCACAAATTTATGCACGTTTAAAGATCAGATTTCAAGGTTTACTGGGTTTTTACCTCACCAAGATCGTTTAATGATTTCCAGATTGTAGACTCAGATTTCCTGAAAATAAATAACTCATTGCCTTGCATGGTAGAAAATACTGTTGCTATCCAACGAAAAAACATTTATCTCCAAAAATCCATTATTTCAGGAATGTGAAAAAATGCATTTTCTCAAAAACTACTTTACAAAATAACCCTAAAACAACATAATAATACACCACTAATAGAAACCTATCTGTACACAGCCATCAGCAACAGAACAATGTTTAAAAAGGACATTCGTTAACAATGATGTTAATTAGCTACCTATCTAGTTATGAATGCTAAGTTGTTAAAATTAGTGATATAAAGCAACACATACAAATGACCACCACGTATACTGTTAACTAGTACAAACAGAAATACGGTTTAAATAGAGGACATACATTGATATGTGCAGAGAATAGGGCATGATGAAAAATGCTGAGTCTGTTTTTAAAAGAATGAATTTGTCTCAAAAAATATGTGTTATGTAAATGTTTAGAGTGAGGCCATTTTTGTGCTTGTTTGATGGAACCTTTTGCTTTCACTATGATAAGTTTGAAGATGGAATTCTGGATGCCTGCCTGAGAATCCTGAACGAGAACCCCAAGTTCCAGCGCAACCCTGGCGAGGACTGCTCCGGCAGACGGAACCCCGTGTATGTGTCCCGGGTGCTGAGCGCAATGGTGAGTCTGGATCTGAGCATGATGAGGTCTGACACAGTGGAGCTGTGTGTTGGGCCTGAACCCATTAGTTTTGCAGAAGCTGCCTTGAGCTCTGTAGCTGTCTTGCTTTCAAACGGACTTTTGGTATGACAGGCAGCCAAGGAATCAGATCTGAACTTGGTCAGTTTGGAGCCAGATCACTATTTATTATTCTGCATGCAATTAATAAATCATTGTATTATCAGCAGTGCACCCTATGAAATTTGTAAATAAAATAGGTTTTGCACAGCCAGCCTCTGTTCTAAAAAGTGTGATTTCTTAGCCAAGATTGCGCCCTTTAGTTCCTGCTGCATTTCAGTATAAATTATCACTGACAGCAAAAACAGACATAATTATTAAAATATTTCACTTATACTGTTTTTCTCCATCAAACAACTGGTATGCATCCTTCGGAAATTGCATCGCTATACCTGTACCTCTCCTTGGGTTTCTGGGAAATGAAGGACATTTTATCTTTGTGCTGGCTGGGAGTACAATTTAAACTCACCTAAAGTAATCATAGGATACAATATGCAAATGTAGGTGACTGAGTGAGATTTCCTTTAAGTAATATTTGCATAAAAAATCCCTACTGTAGGTGCCACAGTGACTAGTCCTATTGCCCCATATCTCTGGGGTTAGGAGTTTGAATTCTGCCTTAGAGAGAACTTGCAAAGATCAATTTAAGTCATGCGGGTTTCCTCCCACAGTCCAAATGCATACAGTCAGGCTAACTGGAGTCTCTAATTGTGTGGTGTGTGCATGCATGTGCCCTGTGATGAATTGGCATCCTGTCCAGGGTCAGCCCCTGCCTTTTGCCCTGTGTGGTTAAAAGATACTGTAGATGGATGATCGACCCTGATTTGCAGTATCTGTGCTCCAGAAAAGCAGAGGTTGACTGACTTTCCAAGTTTTCTATGTTTCTTTTTGTTTTGTGCTTTCCTGTACTTGTTTATTTGAAGGTAGAACTAACTTATTTTTCATTTTCCCAGGTGAACTGTAATGACGACAAGGGAGTGTTACTTGGCAGATGGCAAGGCGGCTTTGAGGATGGCACCAGCCCCCTGTTCTGGAGGGGCAGCGTTGATATTCTGCATGACTGGGACGCCAACTCTTGCAAACCAGTACGCTATGGGCAGTGCTGGGTATTTGCAGCTGTGGCTTGCACAGGTAAGAGCATGTCATCATTTAACAACACGTTCCATTACCAGTTTATCTCAGTTCAGTATCCGTTCAGTTATACAGTCTTGAGGGGGTCTTGGATGTCCCAGTCAACCGGTAATATCCTCCTGAGACCCAAGGAAAAAAGTGTTCTTCATTGTGATTTTCTATGTCTTTGGAGGATATAAGACTTTATATAATCTTTTTTCAAATTTATTTTGATTTTTAATTTCACAGCATGTCCTCTTTGGTGTACAACAGGAATAAATATGTTTCCTTACATCAGTGAAAAGATAGATGCAAAAACAAAATGTCCACTACAATATACATAAATGAATGGGTGGGATCTCAGGAGGTTACAGAATGCTCCTCTACTTTCTCAGGAGACCCCATCCTGTCTTCCCTGCTCATTTCCCTTTTCCCCTTTTGTTACTCCCACCTAGCTTGTGAAATTCCCCAATTTTTCCCCCCCTTTCCTGTACCACATGAGTCTTGTTTCTGATTGGAGCAAGTCTTAAAATGCCAGTGTTGTATTTTTTCATTCCAAAGGGCATGCTCAGTAGATACAGCCGTTTGTAGGACATCTCCTAGCGCACATGTTGTACATCAGCCTTGAAGATTTCTGAAGGGGGGGCATCTGCCCATTTTGACATGCTTTTTAGCCTCCCCCCCCACACACACACTCCTTTACTAGGATGTCATAAACAGGAACTACAGGTGGAGATAGGGTAGAGGCAGGATATCGTAATTACATGCTAGGCTGGTCAACAAGGTTTACCTGAGCACTCCTGCAACAATGCACTTTCTGCCGAGTGCCTCTGCGTTATACGTTTAGTCATTTTACTTGCTTTTCTATTTTGGTTGTGCACTAGTTGCCAGAGCTCTGGGGATCCCCTGTCGAGTGATTACCAACTACCTATCTGCTCACGACACCAACAGCAATCTGGTTATTGAGCACTACGTTGACGAGGATGGAAAACTTGTGCCAAAGTCCAGAGACATGATATGGTAAATGACGTCAATGACTGGGCCACATATCAGCAGATCATTGGCAATTAATTTCTGAAAGGAGACGCAAAAGCATGATAGATGTATGAGCCCATTGTGAGTTTTACATCTGCTATGCAGGAACTATCATTGCTGGGTGGAAGGTTGGATGACCCGTCCTGATCTCGCGCCTGGTTATGATGGTTGGCAGGCTAGTGACCCAACACCACAGGAGAAGAGTGACGGTATGGTTTATGGGCTACATCTGCCCAATGCCTCGTGAAGATGAGCTGTTATTCCTTACTTGTGCTCTGCAGCTTGGATGCCATGTCTGTTTTGTCAATCGCCATTTCAATGACATCTTCCTTCACTCTACTGTGCCTCAAGGGGTTTACTGCTGTGGCCCTGTGCCAGTAAAAGCCATTAAAGAAGGGGAGCTCACGTTTAAGTACGACGCTCCATTCGTGTTCTCCGAGGTCAACGCTGATGTGGTGGTGTACAAGAAGAACAAAGATGGCAAAGAGCAGAAGGTCTTATGGACCGCTGAAGTTGGGAAGAATATCAGCACCAAGAGCGTGGGCACTGATAAGAGGGAAGACATCACCCATCTGTACAAGTACCCTGAGGGTAAGCAAGTCACTCTTAACTCGCATTCGGTTTTTAAAGAAGACCTTTTGAAGCACTGGCACTCATCCCAACTTCTGAAGTTGCCATTCTGTCCGAAACTATCACAATGAGGCTCAATGTAGATAAACAATTTTAACAGGTTCCGCAGAGGAGAGAGAGACCTTCAAAAAAGCCAACCACCAGCACAAGCTGCTGCAGCAGCAGGACGACACGGGACTGCAGCTAAAGATCACGGTGTCGCCGGAAATGAGGAAGGGCTGCGACTTCGACGTCTTTGCCAGTATCACCAACAACACAAACACCACAAAGCTGTGCCGCCTCATGTTCTGCTCAAGGGCCATTTCATACAACGGCGTCCTGGGGAACGACTGTGGCTTTAAAAACCTGCTCAATGCGGAGATCTCATCTGGAGAAGGTTTGTCTGACCGTGGACTTTATATTGAATCCTGCTCTGTTTTAATGGTAATTGCTTATTTGCTACCTTATTTATCATATTTTGTAATGCATAGTTTTTTCATGAGTTTGTTGAATTTTTAGAGAAGAAGATTCCTCTCAGGTTGAACTATTGCAAATATGGAAACAATCTCACTGACGACAGCCTCATCCAGCTGGCAGCACTTCTGCAAGACTATAGTAACAATGAAGTCCTTCTATCAGTGAGAACAATCTTCCTGGAGAACCCAGAGATCAAAATCAAGGTACAACAGAAACATGCTCATTTTTACATTTTCAGGCTTCGGGATATCAAGGGCAATTATAGTGAGCCTTAAAATGATCCAAACAGGCAATATAGACCAATTCGCCTCTGGTATGCTGCACTGTAGTTTGCTGTTCATTTATCTTGGCCTTGTTCTTTTCTGTAGGTCCTGGGAGAACCCAAAGTGAACCGCAAACTGGGGGTAGAGATCTCTATGAAAAACCCCCTCCCAGAGCCGCTTGTCAATTGTTGCTTCAGCGTGGAAGGATCTAACCTAACCGGAGGAAGAACTATCACAGAAACGTAGGCTTTGTGTTTTTTTTTCCAAATAAGATTCATGCATCTTACATTCGGTGACATTTAGTCCTTATGAAAAACCTTATTTTTAGATGCATTGTGGGTAGAAACATAGAAAAGGAACTTTTTTTCCCCTTCACAAACAACGCAAATATTTAATATTTGCTTTGTAAGGGCTAATGATAATAGGTGTCACAATTCATAGAATAATTGCATTATTGAGTTCAAATGCCGTTGGTTCCTGGCCAGAAAATGTCACATGGACTATTTGGCTGGATGTTGAGGAAGCTGCAGAATCCCTCTATCCTTCTGTCTCTATAGAAACTGTCATGAAACATTCATACATCGTGTGCGCCTTCAAGCCCCAGATTTTTTTTTTTCCCTCAAAAAAGCACAAAAATAAGCAAAAATCAGATGCACATATAGGACAACAGAGACAAAGATAAATTAGGAGCTTTAAGAGGGAGAGGGCCACAGCCAGAATCACTGTGATGGTATCATACTTCTGCTGGACGGGCTGTGATGTGTGTGGCACACAGCGCATTCCACGACGTGTGACAGTGTTTTTCTTCTACAGGCTTGAATCGACGGTAGGACCTAGGGAGGAAGCCAAAATTAAAGTTTACTTCACCCCCACCCACTATGGGCTCCGGAAGCTGGTGGTTGGTATCAACAGCAACAAACTTGGTTATGTCAAGGGCTACCGGAATGTTATCATTGGGAAGTAGAGATGAAACTTATAGGTCACTATATAATGAGGAAAACAGAATGCATTTTCATAAATACTGATTTTATATTAGCCCTGCATTTTGTGCATATATGCATAGAAATCCCTCTTTTTTTCATTTATACAGTAACTCCTATGATAGTCTGTTACCTGATGACGCAGTATATTTGCCTGCCAGTCATTTCTTCACAAGTGTTTGGCTGTTTTCATTTAATTACATCTTATATGTTGTTTTGCATTTTGTTTTAACTAATATGTGTATTCCATTAAACTGCTTTTTCATGCATTTCATTCTGTTGTTCTTGAACAGTCATCATGCAGAAGTAAACCTCAGTCCTGTATTTGCGTAAAGCTGTCGAATGATGAGACTTCCTCCGATACCCTTATCAAGGAATAGAAATAGATATTTAGCCCCCTGAACCAAACATGACACACCAATTCTTGAGTCTTATCAGGAGTATTGGCGGTGGGTCAGGAAGAGGTCCGATGCTACACAGAATCAAGCGACTGTTACGGGTACATACCCAATGGCTGATACTACAGGCTGACAAAGGACCCAGTCATCTTGCCATGCTATTTCATAATACCCTCCCACAATCCTATCAAACTGATTCGCACATTAGTGATCACATTAAACCATGTTAAAAACATGCAGCAATTCAAGTTGCATAGGAAGCGTTTGAGGACATTGTCTGGATTCATATGTAAAACTGATAAACCGAACGGTCATGTCTAACTGGCCTAATCATCATCTATAAAAACAATTTTCATCTTCACTACATCTACCTTTCTTTGGTTGAGGTTCTGTACATTACATGTTTCTTAACAGCTTCATACTACATTTTCTGTCTTGCCAATATCGGCATCTGGATGTCCAGAAGGCTTTGATCCAACTGCACTTCTTCTATTAATCCTTAGCTAACAATCCGTAACTGAGTTCCTCCCAAGCTGCTGTTCCCATCTTCAAACACTATACTGACATTTACTCTGTTGTGTCCATCACTATGGTTTTATTGGTAAGTTATGAAAGTGGTTCAGCACTGCCTTCTGCACAGATTCAAAGAGCACCTTTGCCATTATTACAATGTTACACCACCAGTGTTACACATTATTACAATGTTACACCACCAGTGTTACACATTATTACAGTGTTACACATCAAAGGTTTTATCAAACAGTTGGAAGTTAAAAATTCCAAGCAACACAATCATTAGCTTCCCTGATGCACACAAGCCTCCTCCTTCAACCCAGACATGATTCCGTAAGTAGGCACAGCACCGGATGAATATCAGTTCAAACTTTTCACATGGGGAGAATTTGCCTCAGTGATCCTTACAGCAAGTTGGGACTAATTGGAACACGTCTATAAAGGCACCATGCAGGTAATGACCCTGTCAGGAATATTTACGGATATGCACATCACAGGAAATGAGTTCTTTGTATCGTCATTAGTGGAACAATTTCACTGCTGCCCACTGTGTTCGTTGTAGTACAAAATGAAAATGAAAAGTCAGAATATCAGTATTTAAATTTACTAAAATGTACATTTTACATTGATAATGTACATTTATAATCCTAAAAATCTTCACATATTCGGCAATGATTAAAACTTACAATAAGCATGCAAATGAAAATCATATAAAATTTAAATAATTAAAATTTTAATGAATGTTTAAATATTCTAAAATCTATACACTAAATAGCAAGTACCACAACCCTACTCTATAGATAGATAGATTTTTATTAATCCCGAAGGACATGTGCCTGTAAATATGACAATGTTTGCAGTAATTATTATGTCACATCACGGCATTTAATAAAAGGCAGATGTCTATGAGACAGCTATGAGTTAATAATGAATTATAGCTTAATGCCAGAGCTTTGAGATTCTGACAGCATGACCCTGCCATCTGGCAACTGTATGAATCAATATGCCTGCCTCCAAATATAAATTCAGTCTTGCTTTTGTCTGGGAAGCATAAAGTCAAACAAACAGACGGACTTCAAACAGCAGAGTAAAAACACAAAGTGTGGTCGAAGCTATATCTGTGAGGGTAGAGATGGCAGGGTACACGGAGCGATACCAGAAATTCTCATTCAATCACTGCTCAAATGATAACATTCCTTATCTACCCTTCTGATTTATTGTATTAAAAAATGCTGTTCATTGGAAAACAGGTGCTATGAATCGGTTTTTTTAGTAAAATATGGGTAAAATTTATAGAAACTAACAGCCCCCTCGCAAAATTATTTGGAATTCTTTGCCTTTTCCTTGAACGGTCTTAATCATTCCAGATTTCCCTGTTTAGAATGTGTTTGGATTGGTCAATAGCTAAATAGTTTTTTTAAGCTATTCTCAGAGGTGCAGAGGTGGTGGTAACTTTTCATAAGAATGATCTATGCATTTCCTTCTTTTTTGTTAATAGGACATGGAATTCAGGCTTTCCATAGTTATTTTCTGGTCGTGCACCTGAAAAATGTACTTTACATTGTACACAGTATCTTTACTGTTGATAATTGTTCAGTATCATCAGTGTTGAAGTCATACAGAATGCTTAATATACTCCAATACTTAGACTTAACAAATAACAGTTTATGCACTGATTTCATTATGTAACATTTAAACCATGCATTTTGAGAGAAAGGAAAATTATCATTCTGTTGGATCCACTATCAGTCACCATGTTGGGCATCACAATGAAAACTATATCCTCCTGAAACCCCACCCATTCATTTATGTCCATTGTAGTGGACATTTTGTTTTTGCATCTATCTTTTCACTGATGTAAGGAAACATATATATTCCTGTTGTGCACTAAAGAGGACATGCTGTGAAATTAAAAATAAAAATAAATTTGAAAAAATCTAAATTGTAAGATGTCTTATTTCCCCCAAAGACAAATAACCTAAAATTGAAGGACACTTTTTTCCTTGGGTCTCAGAAAAAGCATTTTCATAATATCAAAAGATTCAGTTTTATGATGGTGTTGATTGACCTCTTTTGCATGTATCCTAAATCAGGAGGTATCTAACAAGCTTGCCTCCACTACTTCTGTCTTGAAATTGGCAAAAAATAGCTGCTTTTCCAGTTAATGTTTTTATTTGTGGTCATGTCCAGTGTTTCAGATTAATCGGATCATAGTTATAATCCCCATATTTATAACAATAAATCAACAACTGGTAACAATTAAACATTAACTCATTCATCTGACAACTGTTGAAAACAAAGAATGCTTAGGTAATATTTATTTGTTTTTTATTGCCATTTAGACATGGCAGGCATGAGTAAACATGTCATAAACTTCCGCTGTTTGAAATACCGATACAGAGATTTGGAATATGTACAGTAGGTGGGGTTTATGACTGAATAACAGACAAACTGCACCCGGTCTCAAACAATCTTGGAACCATTCAGAAACACACACAGGACTTTATAAGTAGTGTAAATACATGTGCTTGCAGGCACACATTGGAGTTTTGTTTTCCATTCTCAGACCTTTATCAGGGGTAATCAATCAGATGCAAGAACCTACATACAGTAAGCAGACCTGTCACAGTGTTTCAGATTTTGGAAGGGGAAACTACTTTTGGTCACACAAGGAATGTTTAGAACATTTAAATATATTATTTACTGAATGATCCAGTAAGACGTAGCAATTTGCTAATATCCAGAAATTGCAGTCCAATAAGCTGAGAAATTCTTGCCAAAACAGAGTCTCTACAAATGTTCTCTACAGCTTTACATGAGTACAGGACCAAGTCTCCCATAGCACATAAGTGATTGTGCTCAACGATGGTCTGACATCCCATCCAAGGAACCCCTAGGGCTTCCCGTGAAACTGCACCGGTAAGAGGTTAGATGAAGGCTGGAAAGCTGAGCTTGTAGAATTACCATAAGCACAAGCATATAGTTCATTAAAAAAGTGAAAATATTTAATGATCTTTCACCAGAGGCTGAAATATCTCTACTTATCCTTATATCTTTATTGCCTGTTTGGGTGCATAGAATTACCTGAATGCAAGGAAGACGGTTTTAGCTAAACTGAAGACAGGTGATTTTCACATTCTTTTACGGATGAACAAATTTGTATTTGCCATTCAGAGACAACGGGGCAAATTACTTTTTAAACAGAAAACTCTATCAAGAGAAGTTCAGTTAAATAAGATTCACAGCACGCAGTTTAATTTTGGATGAAAGCAATCAGACTGTTATTAAATTGCAAATGAACATCCATCCCAGAAATCATTCTTTGTATCAAACCACAATATGTGAATAGGTTTTGTGAAGGAAGAGAAAACCTTTTTTTTTCCACTGCACACAAATCCAAAGTGAAATACTTGTTCCACAATTACGAAACATTTTGTTTCCTAATATCTATTTATTCCACACTAAAGGGCACACGAAAAAAACTACACTTTGTAGCAAGCATCATTCCTATAAAATAGTTACTGGCAATTTATTTATTTATTTTAATTGGGTTTATATCGCTATGGAATTGGTTAGAATGTTGATGTATAGTAGTGTTTCACAAAGCAGTCTTCGGCTAGACGGTCCATGTGTTCGCTCCCTCCCAGCTCCTGGTATCAAAAACATGAACTGCCAGGGGGGGGGCAAGAACCGGTATGTGAAGCACTGATATATATATAGCATGAGTGATATTAAGTGCTGTTGGGAATGGTAGGAAATATAAAAAATACTGCCAGAAAAAACAAAAACAATTAAAGGACTACTGCAAGAATGCCAAAAGACACATGAAGATGAAGTGGTGAGAGAAGGCTGTCAGTCAGTCAATCAGTAGCAGGAGCTGGTGAAGGATATGCAGGAAGTTCTGAAGTTTCTCCTGGATTCCAGGAACAGCACTCAGAAGTCTTAGTTACACACTAATTCTCCACACCCAGATCACTGAAGTTTCTGTGAGCATATGTTCCAAAATGGAGTAACAGTACTAATTCAGCCCATCTGACAACGTACAAAAACAAACTCTGCTTCAGATGTTTTCCCTTCGGCTGAACACCAATGTTATCTGGGCCTAATGCTGTACATCACACTATTAGCCTTGATTAAGCTACTTCAGCTGAAACAAAGTATTTCAACATGTACAGCAGAGATTATGAATTACTGGCTCACAGGCCAGAGACTCTTTTATAAGACCTGCAACATGTTTCCAATTCTAATTATTCCTAATTATTCATCTTCACCAGTTGCCCCCCTCCATTGTGCATTCCCTCTCATCTCTTTTAGCTCAAAATTCAGCCCCAGGTTAGTTTGCCTGAGACCCCTTGTGCACAGCAAAATCAATATATCCTGCAACATATTCCAGCGTCCATCTGTCAAAATGAGGATACAGAAACAGTGGAGAATTTTCCCATTTTTTTTAATTTTTACATAAATAGGGAAAGTATATAAAGGATTGTAAATGACTTTCATGGGGATACTTTCACAGCAGAATGCAGGTCAGTGATTAGAAAGGTATCAAGCAGAGGCAAAATTAATGTTGTGTGCAGGTTTACCGATTCAAACAATTGGATATCTTGGGAGCAATTCAGTTTATATGCCAGCAATGGACTCTTATTAGCATTTCATAAACAAGCAAGATACCTTTTCAAATGAGTTTACAAACTTAACTTGCTTCAGAACAACCTAAAGACTTCGAAGAAAAAGAAAAAAAAAAATGGGCAAATACAAAGCCTTGCCGTTGTAACTTCCACAGCGCATTACGCAAGAATAGCAAAACGAAATTTTTTCCTGCCATAAATCTACGAGCTTTAAAGCATCAATTGAGAAAACCTGGCTTTCACTCGTAAATCAACCCGAGTCACACCAATAACCATAATCCAAAATACAGCCCTGGGGAACAAAGTTCTGGGCAACTTTGCTACATACTGATATTTGGTTTTTATTGATAAAAAAGTAAAATGAATAAAATCTAAAGTCATCCTGCGTAGTCTACACCCCCCCCCCCCCCCCCCATTTTGGAGCTGGTGAATCAGGAATCAGGTAAAAACCAAAACCTCAGAACGCACCGCCTCCCAAGACTGCCGCAGCTTCCATGATCAACTTCAGTAGTTTTTCAGGGCGGCGCTGCCTGCCCCCACACCCAGGTTAAGAATGTGGGGCAGGATTTCAGGAACAAAGGGGACGGGGGAAATGTTCAGTCAGTGGAGAAGAGATCCCCGGCAGAAGGCAGCGGGGCCAGCCCCCCCGTCACGCTGGGCAGCAGGGAGAGGTCTGGCAGGCTCTGCAGGTGAGATTTCAGCTCCTTGCGCACCTGTGTAACACGGGCCAGCTTCTGCTTGTACTCCTGGAACATGGCCACAGTGACACCAAAGGTTATTTCATGATAGATGAACAGATTTTTTTTCCCCCCCACACTTCTTAGCGCAGATTCCCAGTGCTACGATGTTATTTCGCACACATCATAACCTGTGTTATGATAAAATATTTGCTGGAAATAATTTCAATGGGAAATATGTATACAAAAGACTATGAACACATGACTCAAAATTCAAACCTACGCCTGTCCAGTTCTGAATATACTGAATCGACTTACTGGAACACATAAATCTGCCACTCAGTCGGTATTTTGGCTAGTTGAAAATTGAAAAGAAATTTAGCTTATCCAGTCATGCCACTTGATATTTAACTCGGGGACTGTCACAGCACAGACAGAAGCAGACTTTGAGAACAGAAGGGAACGGAGACCTCTAGTTTCTTCTCCCTCTCGACCAGGGCCTCCTTCTGGCTGTGGATGTACTCGGTCAGCATGCGTGCCAGCTGTCGCCGGTCCTCCAGCTCCGCGGCCAGGCGCCCATTGTACTCAGCCAAGAGCAGGCAGGCCTCGTCCACCGTCCTGGACAGCTTGTCCGCAGCCTCCTTGTCTGAAAGCCAGCAAAGTTTTGAGGCCTTACAGCCTATGTCTTGCAGATTTTGACAAGTCTGTAAACATCTGTACACGAGGCCACAGCTGGGAGCAGGGGGGGCAGTTTAAATATTTAACAATTCACAGTTGGTTGCCAAAGTACTATTCTTTAAATCGGCGTTTGTGAAGGGATAGTCGGCTGCTTAGCGATAAGAGAAAAAAAAAAGTTTTAATGGTCACAGTTGCTGTCATTATGTGCTACGTAACATGGCAGCATAAGTCGACACAGCCACTCTGTGCTCTTCCTTGTTTTGCATTAATCAGTCGGCATCCAATTTTATTGCATGTGTGCAATGACAATAAAGATATTCAGTCAATTAAAATCAATCAGGTACTGACTGGCCTAACATGCTTCCAACCTGGTTGCAGTTAAACCAGCCCATAACTGAAAGGCTGTAGTAATGGCAGAATTAAGGTTAATAAACCAAAATTAAGCAGAACCTCACCTGTGATCTTCTCCAGCAGCGAGACATCCTGGACCTCCTGTGGCAGCGAGGCAATCTTCTGGCGGACAGCGGCATCACCAGAGGCTGCATTCTCTAGATCCTGCAGGGCTTTGACCAACTCCTCGGTCTGCAAGAGGGAGAGCAAGCTGACTGATCTCCCCACGGTTACTGATGCCAGACCCAGCTGAAGTCATCAAGCACAAGTGGCAGTATAGGGCACCCATCATTAAATATAAAAGTAAACACCAAGACTGGGGTGACAAGACAGAGTTATCTCCTGGCACTGGGAACCAGGGGAGGACCTAATTATGCCTGTCTGAAAAGCTCAAATAGGGAAAAACAAAACCATCAATAAGAGAAAAAAAAAAAAATAGCTGCTTTGGATATGTCACCTATGCAATTAGATGAATAACAAACCATAAAGAATTTGCTTAAAATGTACAGATTTTAATGAAGTTAAACTTCTCCCATGTCACAGTGCTAAAAATAATCTCATTTGTCAGGAGTCATTTCCATGTTACACTCTGGCTCCTTGGGAATCTGTCAGCCAGTGAGAGGTGACACGCCTGACATCTGCTGGTGAACACACAAACGTGCACTTTCATGTTGTTTGACATATCAGTAGCACAAGATAATCTGAGTGTTGATACCAGCAGGGGAGTTGAGGCATCAGAGTCCCGTGGAGAATAGTGTCCCCTGTAGTCATCATCTTCCTCTTCCTCTTCCTCCTCCTGAATTTTCTGGTATGAACGTTTGATGGCTTTTTTTTCCTCTGCATATAAAACAGTTTGATTGATAAATCACTTAAAGGAATTTTAAAAACAGTTCTTTGCTGCCTATCAGCTCCTCTCAATACCAGTCCTTCTTAAAACATCACAGATGTGCTAAGCTAGGTCTGATCCAGGGATATTTAGTGAGACACTGCACATTGCCTACATATTTCTCATAATGAAAGTCATGGCACAGATTGGGTGGCTGCTGCTGTTCTAAAGTTTCCTCCAGGCATCCATGTCATCAGTTCCAAGTTAACAGACAAAGACAACTACACTCAAAGTCTGGCTCCACTGGGATTGAAGTTTTACATTTTTCGGTGAAAATTACCCATTATAAAAACTGCCTTTAAAACACACTGGAAGGGCTGCTACAATGCTGTTCTGGGTAAACATGTGGTTAGTTCAATTTACTTGTGGCTGAAAAAGCAAGTCAACAATTTGGATTTCCATAAAAAGTACATTCGCACTGGGTAAATGTTTATGGGACAAGAAATGAGATCCACCCATTTGAGTGTAAAAGCACATTTAATCAGGCATAGGGGTCTGACCACAAACTGTTGTTTTAATGACAAGAGCTTAAAAAAATTGCTAGAAAAACAAACCTAACAGTAGCTGGTCACCTTGACACAAATACATGATGATTAGTTAAAATCCACTAAACAAGATCATGGGCTCCTCCACAGTACAAGAAACAAGGATAAGAACACCTGCAATTTTCAGAGCCGCAATCATAAGACCGACATGGGACACAGGTTACATTGCAGCAGTCTCTGGCCTGCCAAGATACGCCCCCCAAATGCATACCTGTCTTAGGTTTGGGGCTGTTGGAATCCTCAATGGCCAGTTTGAGCTGCTGAATGAAGTCTGCTCTGTATACACCACGCTCCTGCCAAATATTGAGCAGTCTCTCCATGTGCTTTTTGCACCCATCATCCGCCTCTCTGCAGGAGATAGTTCTTTCAGTTAAGAGGAAGACAGTATGAATGACAGATTTTATTTGGTAAATTCTATTTCCTTATACTGTACAATTCACCAAATGGAATTACATTCCACAGACAAATTAGACTTATAAAAAAACACAATGAGAGATACTCAATTTAGGCCCTTTCTTTACACACATACTTCTTTAAGGAAAGTGCATTATACACAAATTCACATAGCACTGCATATAGTGCTTGTACAGTTTGTGATTATGTGAAACAGACAAACATGTTCCATAATATTCATCAGATACGGAAACCTTATAAAAACAAACCCACAAGGTTTAAAGTAGTCTGTGAAAGTCAAAAGACATTAGACATATAAGTGCAGAGGGATTCTCTCTGAATCAGACTCTCACCTTTCCTTAAATTACAAGCTTGTAAAACTAAATCATCATCTCACCTGGGGATAAATGTAAGTGACTCACCTCGCCACATGAGAGCAGGCATCAACGAGCACCATCTCGTAGTCGCGAGCGAACTCGGGGCCTTTCCTTTTGCTGTTCTGGATCACGTCATTGGCGAGGTACAAGAAAGTCAACTTGCGGCTGCTTTTGGCTGAAACGGGAACGCAACAAATTCACAGTTTAACGAAAGGATTAAAATATAACCACGAAGCAATCGATTTAGCAACTATGACCGCAAGTAACTATCTCATCACTGTCAAATCTTGCAGAGTCATGCATACAGTAGAATGTAAATAGGCAATGTATATCCCCACGATCCGTAACCGTGCAAATGGTAGTATATTAAGAAATCCATCGTTTCATGACTGTTAGTACTACTTTACAATTGCATGACTTTAATGTCCATATTTGGCACACTTGTAAATACACACAATTACACCTTCATTGCAAACATATAGCCAATCACACTATACAAGTATACACGAGCGTTCCCGTTTCTTCAGCCCAGTTTATTGTTATTTTCCCAGTTTCTCCCTATTCTCCAGCAGACACTTACCCTTCTTCAGCTCCCGGTGCCACACTCGGACGATGACCGGTGAGTGTTTTCGGTGGTGGATGAGCCAGAGAGACATTGTCTGCACGCTGTGCTGCGAATTGCTGAGCTCGGACAGCTTTTTTTCCAGGGCCGTTTCCGAAAAAGACGACATCGTCCGACTTATGTTTTTTTTTTTCTTTAAATTATTTAAATTGCACAGTCGCCGGACGGCAGATAAATAACGCTATACGCCCATGGAGACAAGACTGCCCCGTTGCCAAGGCGAGTGGATTCTACCTGCTAGCTTGTTAGCCTAGCCTGCTAAACCGCGGGTGAATGATAGCTAGCTAAAGCAAAGTTAGTATTTCGGTTTTCTGTATATATTTGCAAACATGAAACGGTGCTGGTCGCTGGAGAAAAACGCACACAGAACATTAAAACTGACTTTAAATACAAATTAAGGCTTATTAACTTATTACGCCACACTTAGCTACCTGTTACGTTCACTAGCACTAGAGTAAGTTTAAAAGCTAACTAGACTACTTGCTAGTAGCACGCCGCACATATCGACTTAACCGATAACGAGCTTGTCATTTGTGTGTTTAATAAAGATTCGCACTTTGTACTGACTTTTATAATAAAAACGCACTGACAGTACTCAGAATGCAGGAGCTTAAACTTAAGTAACTGTCCGGAGAACGCCCCGTGGCTAACAGTCAGAGTCTGCGGCGTCGGCTGGCTAACCACGACTAAACACCGTCACCGCCCAACAAGAAATAATTAAGCTAAACGCGGTTTACCTTAGCCAGACTTGTTTTAATTACTCTAACTGTCCAATTATGCGCATGTTAGTTGCCTAACCAATGCCAACTTCTTTGAAGAAGCTAGCTAGCTAGCTAGCTAAGACTGGCGAGAAGGCCGTGTGACGTCACGTCATGGGGTCGCAGAGCAAATGCACGAGCGTAACTTTGCCCTTTAGCAATGCATTTGGACTTAATACAGCAATGCACTACAAACGAGTTTTTAGTAACGTTTTACTAATTTACTTAATATTAGTGTGTGTGTGACAGCTGTTTTAAATAACACAACCTCCCAACTATTTTCAAGGAGGCTTGGAGCTGATAGTCTTCATAAAAAGACAACCACTCTTTTTATTGGGGGATTAACAGTACTATTAACCATTTACGTGTAAAATGAGATGTGAATATTAATTAACTAATTAATCCTATTCAGTTTGTTTAAAAATACAAAAGCTGGTTCGGTAAAAAAGATGCCTGGGTTAGACATGATACTCTTTGGGGGAGTATTTTTGCAATTGTCACTCTGGGGTCCCCGGTCCCGGGGGTCTGCAAAGCACCATATAAATAACATTGATTTGGAAGTAAATGTAAGAACAATAAAATACAACTACTAAAGATAACAACAGCAACAATAATAATAGACATATGTTTGTATGAACATATAATGTGAGATACCATACGAAACAGCAAATGTAGTGAGTTAAGTAAAGTGGTATATACTGTACATACTGGTGCTGTTCAATGAAAGGTGGAGTTGATATGTAGTAAGGTTAGATTTTCATGTTGTCAAGGGTGACACCCCAAGATCTGTGATACTTTCTGTTCCTTATGTACATGATGGTAATCTCACATTGATCAACATTCTGCATAAAGGAGTTCGACCGTTTTAAGTGCAAACTAAAATTACCCCCGTATGCTGTTCAGGCGTTTTAAAACGGGATTTACCCAGGAATCTGCTGTCACGTCCGTTTTACCGAATTTAAAGGGATAGTAACGATGTTGTCGATTGCTGGTCTTTTTTGAGTTAATGTGTCAATAGTGTCTGACCGTGGTAACAGATAATGCAATGAAACATAATGAATGAAACTCTTCACACCATCGGGCATTTTCTTCGTGGCCCGATGGGTTTTTAGGCCGGCAAAATTCTGCCAAACCCCCATCGGCAAAATTTATCCAGTGTACGTATGGGTATGCACTGGTATGCCTGTCTGGTTTACTCTTGTGTGGCACGGTTCATTCTTTATTATTTAATACATTTAATTATAGGGACATTTGGGGTACGGAGACTGCGCCTGAATGGCGCCTTTAGAGCACATTTATGGGAGACAAACATCTGTATAAGAATCGCCACAAGGTGTCGTACTCGAGGCAAAGAATGAGGTTCGTTATAGCTTTTCCGTCTGACTGCGTTAAGTGGTGTTTCAGTATTCTGATTCCTCAGCTCACACCTCAAAATGCTTTTTGCTGAGTTTCTCAAGGGTGGTACAGTCATGAAACCGACACTATTATTAGAACATTTCTTGCACACATATATACCACGTCATCCTAGACAGATAACACTAACCGCTAAGTCTGCCAAAAATACAACCATATACGACTGAATATATATCTGCAGATCTATATAGCTTCCTTCATGAGGCGAATTTAATTTTTATATAGGAATCATTTTTGCTACATCCATCTATCTATCCATCCATCCATCCATCGGTTTTCAATAGATATTTATCCAGTATAGGGTAACAATAAGTCTGGTGTAGCACAGGGCAAAAGGCAGAGGTACCCCCCCCCCCCCTCCCGGATGGGATTTCACAGAACTCTTCTATAAATTGAATAATTTGCACAACACACACACACACACACACACACACACACACACATGTATATATACAGTACCCAGCCAAAAAAAAAAAAAGTTGCCATTTGAATTTTTCGTTGGGCCGCCTTTAGCTTTGATTATGGCGCACATTTGTCATGGCATTGTTTCCACAGGCTTATGCAACATCTCACCCTTTATTTTCATCCAGATTTGCATTCATTTTTCACCTGCATTGACCAGTGAGTTGAACCACTCCGTAAAGCTTCCTTTATCACATCCCAAAGACCTTCAATGAGGTTAAGGTCACAACTCTGTGGTGACCAAGTCATACGTGAAAATGATTCCTTATGCTCCCTGAACCACTCTTTGACAATTTGAACCCAATGAATCTTGGCATTCTTATCCTGGAATATGCCCATGCCAACAGGGAAGAAAAAATCCACTGATGATGGATGGAGGTGTAACCTGGCCGGTAGATTCAGGTACTCAGCTGACTTCACTTTATTGCTGCATAACGTTGCTGGGCTGTAATAATGATCCAGTCATTGGCTCTTAAGTATTTGCTGATATAAATTCAAATGACGACTTTTTTTTTTGCCCAGGCAGTGGGCAGTGTGTGTGTCTGTATGTGTGTCTGTGTATGTGTCTGTGTGTGTGTGTGTGTGTGTGTATAAAAGTATGTTTAGTTACAACAGATGTATATTTGGCGTTAATAAAGGACACAAAAAGTAAGAACTTATTGGTACCTATCAGTAAGACATGCTTCAACGTATTAGTATTAAACAAAGGGAGCCTGAACACACTTATTTTTATTGTCTTACATCCATCTCTCTTCCAACTGCGTAGTTCCTAGAGGGTCGTGGGGGGG